CATCTTCGAAAGCCGGTTCGAGCAGTACGAAGACTATCTCGTGTCCCGTTTCGAGGTCTACACGCCAGCCGGTGGGCGGCGCCAGGAACGCCCACGGGCCTCGTTTCCGCGCCCTGCAATTGTCCGCACGGCTCCACTCAGCAGCAGCAGCAGCGCCAAACCCAGACGGTCAGCGGGTGGCGGCAGCGTCAAGCGGCCATCTGCGAGCAAGCCCAAGACGAGCGGGACCTCGCGCCGCAAGAGCGGTGGCACTGGCCGCGGCCCAGGCCGTTGGCCCAAGGGCACAAAGAAGAGCGACTATGGCAACGCCGACAGCGGCCCAGGCCTGCCGCCGGCATGGGTGCAGGAGCGCCAGAGGCTCCTCGCTGAGAGCGCCAAGAAGAAGGGAACCGGCGCGGCTGCGCACGAGGCGACCGGCGGGGAAGCTGCCCGGGTCCAGTTTGAGGATCTGGTGGCGTTGCATGGTGACGCCAGGGTGCCCGGGGCGGCGGCACCTGGTGGTGACATTGCTTACACCAACATTGCGAGTGATATCCCGGCTGTTGGAGACGAGTAGCAAGGTCCGAGACAATCAGGCGTCTTTTGTTACTCATCCTTCCACATCCCCCCCCTCCACCCCCCAACGATTCCTCCCCCTGTGGAGGCAATGCTCACAAAGCCATGGTCATATTCGTGTAATTGTATGCGTAAAATTTTACTTTCAGCCTTTAAAGAGAAGCAGCTCGACTGCTATTCCGAGACGAGTACGTAAGGACATTGGCGAATACGTGACGCGTCTCATAACCACAAAATGTCAAACGGGAACGAGACCAACAATCTAAGCAGCACGGCCATGATTCCAAGTGATATTGTGTGTGTTTTGCCGTTGTTTGTCGGTTAAAACGTGTATTGATCATGCCCCGCCAGTTCAAGAGAGCTCATATGGCTACATCAAAAGCGACCAGGCACCCGACCGTCTTCTTATTCGGCCACCTTTACTCCGTATCGATGCGCTGCTCTGCGTATGCCACGGTGGACACCAAAAACTCCTTTCGTTCCAAACGCCCTTGGGCATGTCAAACATAGCAACCTATTTGACGCCATCCATTGAAGACCCCAACCGTACTCTGCCAAAGCTAGCCAGGATTGCCATCTGCTGCGTGGGTCGGAACTGGCTCAAGCCACGATGGTGGTGTCATTATAGCACGACTTGGTAAGAAGGGCTACTCCCTAGCCGGCACAATGTGTCCGTGGGAGCAAGCATTCCCGCGATATCTGTCGCCATACCCATCTGGTGACAACGTCACCTCCTCCAAGAGCAGAAGCCCTTCGCTTCCGTTGGGTCAAGGTTAGGACTCGGTGGTCTCAGGACCGTTCGCATTGAGTGCCTCTTCCGGAGCCGGTAACCCTTCATCCCGACCCGCAACCTCGGCCTCGGTTGTAGGTGTTTCGAGCCCTACCCCCTCGGCATGATCATGATCCGATGCCGACTCACGCGCTTCGCAGCTCCGACTGTGGAACCAGCCGCCACGCTCCCATTCTCCTTCCTGGTAAAGGCAAGACGTACGCACATTGTCGTCGACGATGCCGAGAAGCAGCGTGTGGAGTCGTTTAAAGTCGACGGGTTTGAGAATCCAGCCGTCGAATCCGGCATCTGCATACGTCTTCTTCTCGCGTTCGATCAAAGAAGCAGATACAGCAAAGATGGGAACCCTGCCATTATGAGCAGCTAGGGCTGAGTGACGACAATTCTCGTGCGATTGCTCAAAAGACCGTATCATCTTGGTACTTGTCAGGCCATCGACAATAGGCATCTACCGGTACATTGTTAGCAACAGCTGGCGATATGGATCTGGATCATGCCAGGTGGGAGGTAACGGACCTGCATATCCATGAGCACCACGTCAAAAGTCTCGGACTTTTCGCGAAAAGACAAGGCGCATTCCTCTCCATTGACTGCATGGTGCACCTCGTGGCCAGCCTTTTCAAGTCGTTTCCTCAATATCCTTAGATTGATGGGATCATCTTCTGCAATCAAGACCTGCAGCTTTGTGCCGTCCAGGTTGAGAAACGAGCTCGTCGTTGTGTCGGTCTCGGAGGGCGCTGGCTGCGGCTGCTGCTGCTTCGCGGGCTCGGGAATTTCGTAGAGCACCCGAGATGACGAAGGGGCCTCTTTAGGCTGGTCAAAGTACTCATCGGGTACTTTCACCGGTCGGATCGGCGTCTTGGTGTCTCTCACAGCGACAAAGCCGGCCGTTGGCTGGCTGGGCAGGACGATTGCACCTGGCGACCTTGGGTCGCTGTGCCGTGTGGTCGCAGGGCTCACGGATCGCGCTGTCGATGCGGCGTCTGTTCCCGTGACGCCGGAGTCGTCTCGATGTCCCTTGACGGCTCGTTTCCGAGACGGAGACCCCGTGGCATGCTCGCCAATGCCCAGCGGGGTCTGGATTGCGTCGATGAGTCTCTCCGCATCACTGAGGGAGCTGTGAACACTCGTGCGGCTGCCTTTACTACCGCCTCCGCTGAAATGGCTACTGATCTGGCTCCTGAGACTACCCGTCTCTATGACGTGGCCGGCTGTCTCGCCAGGGGACTTGGCAGCGTGCGAGGCTGTCCCTCCGTCGACCAGGACGATCTCACCTGCGCTGGGCTGTTGGGGTTGCTTCGTGGCCGATGCAGAATTCGCGTCGGGCACGGGATTGCTTTGCCGGCCAGATCCTACGGAAAGCGAAGGTGACTCGTCTGGTATATCAAATGGCAACTGCATGACAAAAGTCGACCCCTTGCCCTCCTCCGACTTGAGTCGCAGTTGGCCGTTCATGTTGCGTATAATTCGAGCGACCAAGGCAAGCCCCAGCCCCAACGTCCGCTTGTCTGACGAAGAGGAGTCGTCGTCGGCAGTCAACTGCCTGCTGCTGTCCGGATTGACCTGCTCCAGGTCACGGAAAAGCGCATCGAGCTGCTTCGGGCTCATGCCCCTTCCCGTATCCCGGATCAGAACCTCGATCAGGACTCGTTGCTCTTGGACCTCAGCCACGTATAATTCCACCTTGACACTTCCCGAGTCGGTGTGCTGAACGGCATTGGCTGTCACGTTGGAGATGGCCTGTCTCACCCTGCGGCTGTCACCATACACAAAGGATGGCAAGCCAGGATCCTCGATGATTTCGTACTCGATAGCCTTGCGCTTGGCCTCATTTTTAAAGGGGTCAGTCGCTTCGTGAATGCAGCTGGAGAGGGCAAAAATCTCGTCTTTGACCAGATCCTGCCCCTCTTCCGTCTTGGTGAGGTCGAGCAAGTCGTTAATGACATAGATGAGTGATTTGGAGGCCGAGTGGGACTTGGCCAGATTGTCGCGCGTCTCTTGGTCCAGGGAGCCCTCCAAGGCGATCTCGAGGTAGTTGATAATTGCGTTGAGCGGCGTGCGGACTTCATGCGCCGAGTTGGCCAAGAGTAGTTTTGTCAGCTTGCTGCTCTGCAGCGCTGCCTCCTTCTGCCTCCAGACCTCGATGAACTTGCCGTAGACGAGGCACAGCACGGCGGCGGTTTCCACCTGCTCTTCAGTCCAGTCTCTGCACTTGCCGACCACCGTCTCGTGCCACGTCTTGAAGCTTTTCCTGGGTTCCAGGTACGCCTCCGTACCTTCGCGGAGGATCTTCTCATAGGGGTTTCCGGCCCACTTGACCTCTTTGACCTGGCCCCTTCGGAAGAAGACGATAAAGTCCGTGCCCCCGACGCTCAGTGGCACGTAAAGCAGGCCGGCGATCGTGACGAAGCCGGGTTTGTAATGCAGATCCGGGAAGTCCTCGCGAATGTCCTGCGTGGTCACGACGGACGACATGTGGCGCATGCGCAGATATTCCAGCATGGCAAGCGGCTCCGACGACTCTTCGACGGGTCCGAGAATCTTCGTCTCGCCGTGAATAGAAAGCATGCCAAAGTCGGCATCAAAGAGCGTCAGCAGATCATCCGAGGATGCGACGATGTAGCCCGAAGGGCTCTTTTCAGAGGGTGCCGTGTGAATGAGTTTGCGGGCCTGCAGTCTCGAGGCGTACGACAGGCGTTCAATGTTGCGCGAAGCCGTGTCGCCAACGAGTCGGCACATTTTCCGGATGGGAAACGAGACCCGCATGCCCTTGGCACCGTAGCTGTGACAGGTCATTATTCCCTATATTTCGTTT